CAGTTAGGCCAACTAATATGCTAGTGTGCATGTATTAAATAACAGGTTTTTCTTTTGATATTTTTGATAACTTAGGGGCAATGGAAAAAAGCTATGAACTCAATATCCACATATCACTTTTTAAGTTTATGGTGAACTTGAGAACAAAGAGTTGCCTATGGCATTTAGAGATACAGCTGTTATGGAGCAACATTATCATTAATTTGGAGTCATGCAAGTCCAATATTCACCCTCTTTTAGCTCTGTTTTTGGTCTCTACCAACTCCTTAGATTCTCCACTATGTTCTCCAGCTTGTCGCTAACTTTGTCTTTCTGCTGTTTGATGTTGGACAGTAGTGTACGATGGGTTTCTAGAGGTTTTTTGCTTCTTGCAGTCAAAAACAACACTATGAGAACAGTGAGAGTGAACCAAAACATTAAAGATGTGGCCCAGAGAGCTAAACAACCAGTGGAAAGCAGAGGAGAGCTGGCGGTTCCATCACATTGAATGACCCCTTTCATATGTATTTTACATTGTTAATATGAAAATATAAACTTTAGCAGCTTTAAAGTTGGTATGACAAAGATTTAAATATAGCAGATTTGGATCAACACTGGAGTCATGTTTCTGGCCACATTCACACTTAGCTCTGTTTTGAGTTTCCAACTCCTGACAGAAATATCTGGCTCTTTAGCTGCTAGTGCTCCACTATGTTCACCAGCTACATGTAGTTAACTTCATCTGTCTGCCATTTGGTGCTGGAAGTGTACTGTGGGTTATTAGGGCTGTTTCATTAAAAACAATTGCCTGCTGCTGCTAGAAATAAATCTATGAGAGCAATGAGACCAAACCAGAACAGTAAAGCTGCGGCTGTAAAACCAAAGCAAAGAGCCAAAAGAAGCTGTAAATCTCTTTAGGGATGAGGGGAACTGCAGTGATCATCACTATGAGTGACCCCTTTCACACACATTGGCATTTGATCCATTGTTATTATGGAGATATAAATAATTATGGCTGTAACCACCAACTAACAAAACACAATTCATATTTCTGCTATGTTGACAAGGGAAAGATTGCCATCCAGATGCATTACATTCTGTTTTAAGGAAAATGCTATTACATGTTTTTTTGTTGAATTAATATAAAGGTGAATATTTCATATATAAGACAAAACAGTACACATTCTGACAAATGGGGCATCCAAATATTAAGTTGAAAAAATGCGTCACCAGTCACATAACAACAGAATAAGTCTAAAGGTCAGGTGTACTTAGTCTTAAATAATATACCAAACACAGTATCTTATTTAATGATCAATTCTCAGTGGCAGAAATTTCATCTGTGGATTCCCAGCTCATGCTGCCCTCCTGTTGATGTCTAACAAGTGAATCTTTCAGACCCGCTTGCACCGTACATGCAGTACCAAAAACACAGACATATTTGTTTAAACACAGAGCGCAGCAGTTTAGAGAAAGAAAGCCGAGTATTGTACTTCTACACAAACATTCACCATGGCTCCAGGTCACAGGAGTGCCCCGTACAGTCCTGAGGTTTTATCAAAACAACACTGTCCTGTGAGTGTTTTGCTCACAAATATACACACTAAAGATGAAGTGATATCACATCAATAAGGCAGAACAGCTTCAATACTCTTTGGTATAGATTCTCCAAGTCTATTAAACTCTACTGGAGGGATTATTTTAAAGGAGCCCATATTTATTCATACCACAGAGGTGATTATAATGATTTGCAGTGACCTTCCACTTTAAAGGTACGTTAACATTAGTCCTCCATTCAAGTAACTGTCCCACACTCAGCCCAGAAAAGGAATGCGCTGTCACAGCTCCAATGTGCTTAATAAATGCTGTAAGTACTGAGCTGAAAGATTACGAACTGTAAACACAACATTGAAGTGATGCAGCAGTTTGTGTTTCTGGTGATCAACCGTGCAAATTCATCAGACAGGAGATGAAACTGAAACAGGAAACTCATGACTCATCTGAATTCTGGATTCTCTCTTCAATTGGATGAACTGAATGGGAGATTGAGGGATAATTTGCCGGATTGAAGTGTTATGCTGCATTCACAGAAATCAGCATACATGTTAGACGTGATAGTGGATGACAGCAGTAAGGTAAACTTTGGTGAGTCCGGCAAAGAATTTCACAAGTATATTCGTAAACAATAAATGAAAAAATACAGCACTCACACTCTCAACAAGAGTTATGTCAGTGAAAGATAAGGATAATGAACGTAATACTTATTCTAACTTGGAAGAGATTTATGTCACCTCTGAACAGGCACTACAGCTAGCTGCTTGGCAAAGACTGTGTTAAAAAAAAAAGTAAAAAAGTAAATGGTATAATATGTTTTGTAAAGGACACAATAGACCTTATAAACCTGGTTGTTAATATTAAATTACTGACATTGCATTGTTAAGATCAGGCTTCTTTCAATGCAAACAGCTTGCTGTTACAGTTTAGCACAATTTGATGTCATTTGAACTGATAACTTTTCTAATTAGGGTGTATAACTTAAAACCTTACCAATTTGAATTTGCAAACAACAAAACAGAATGAAAGCAATAATAATCTTTTGGTACAAATTAGTTGAATAGAAATATTTTGGGGACAGAAAAACAAAACAAAACAGAGGTTTAATTGACATTTGGCAGCAACCAACAGTTCACAGTTTAAATTTGTTAGTAACGCAACAGTCGCTTTAATCCCACTTTCAGGAAAGACCAAATCATTTTTATTGACAGTATCAGAAGTAATTTGCTTTACTGTCAACAGCCTAAAAAAAAGAATTGTTATTATTCAGGAAGGGAACATGTAGTACCAGTCAGTGCGGAGGTGTGTGCAAGGGCAGTCGAATGAAATACCATGAAGTTAGTGCTCAACAGGAGTCATTCATTTGTGCTGGAATTTGTGCTGGACAAAGCAGGACTGACCCCGACCAGACACCCACTCAGAAAGAACAGAAAGCTGTCCAAAGTCATCTTCTGGTTGGCTAAGCTGCCCGCACCCACCCTACAAAAACTGGGAGAACCTTCATGTTGATGCAGTAGTCTCATCAGATTCAGTCTATTCCATTTTCCTACTTTTCTTGCCAACATTTTCTGAGCTCCCCTTCCTCCATCCATCCTCTATCCTTTTCTTTCCTCCCTCTGTCCTCATTACCTTCCTCCACCCACCCATGCTGCTGCTGAGGACTTTGGTTCCAAAGCTGGACCCCTGGCTCAGCCCTCTGCAGTCACATGACAGACTCAGGGATCCAGAGTTGTAAAGTACAAAGCACTCAATATGCATGTATAGTCTACTGACAGAAACATCACAAGGCCACTGAGCTGAGTAACCCTCGGCTCACTTTCTGCTGCACTTGTGTAACTGACTCTGTTCTTCCATTCCCACAAGCAGGTAGGTGGTATCTTTAATTTAGAATGATGAATAGAGTTAATTTAAAATGCTGAAAGGAGTTGAGACAGTTTATAGTGTTTTATGTGAAGTTGTGTAATCTTATAATAAGGGAAATTTGTCACATACAAAATGGTCTAACTTAGAGTTTTGGAAACACAAAAAGTAAGGTCTGGCAGGTTTTCCACTGGACTGTTTTCCTTGTGCTTAGCAACTGTCCTCATCTAACCCAACTCTATGAGATTTGTACTGTATCAGCATTTAACTCTGTAAGAAATGCACCGTATAAAATGTATTTAAATCAAATACAGTAGGATAATAAAAGGCACATTACTAAAGCACTTTTCAATCTTAGGTCATTTGGTCTTGTCAATGTACAGCAGTTACTATTTTTCTATACATATACACATATATATATATAATAGAGAATCTAGGCCTTTTAATGTACAGTGTCCTGTAGCAGTCTGCTACAAACCGCTCTCAAACCTCCTGTTTGTATCTGACAACCTTGAAAAAAAGGTACTGTTTTGACTGTCTGTGGACAATATCACAGATTAATGTATGTATAGCTGGAGGGCATTATGGTTTATTCTTTGAGAAGGTCAGTGACTTTGGGGGGGACTTCTGGGGACCATGAATGTCTACCAAATTTCATGGAAACCTTGTAATAGTTTTGTGATGTTTCAGTCTGAATCTAAGTTATGGGCCAACCAACTGACCAAAATTACCATCCTTAGAGCTCAGCTGCTAACACGGTTATAAAACATGTAGTCATTGTACTCTGGAGGTAACAGTGATTAACAGGAGGCGTCAGGTAAGCCAGAAGAGCTGAAACAACAGTGTCCGTTCTCTGGTGGTGTCTGGTGTCCTCTTCCAGGCTGGGCTCCTTACTATCATGGACTTGGGTAATGAAAGCAACTTGGCTTACTGCGGTAGCAGGATGAGCATGCTATTTCTGTATGAGCTTTGATTTAATGACGCAGGGTGAACAGAGGAGACCCAGCCTTTGATGAGGCAACCTGAAGTTCTGCAGAACTTTTGAAACCACCTCCTTCACCACTTCCTTTGGGTTGAGGAGTTTAGGGCCGGATGTCTTCTGCCTCTGCTCTGTCAGGCTGCTGGGGTACTTCTGAGTCTATATATGAATCTGAATATAAATTGCAATGTCATGTTTGTGCTGTTGAAGTGAAACTTGCCAGACAGGTCTTTCCAGTTGTGTAATATTATTAACACCAAATTAGGCTGTGAAACGTGATCTGCACAGTGATCAGCAAATACAGGCTCAGCAGCAGGGCATAATTAATAATAATAAATCGAGGCAGGGACAGAAAAATGGAAGGGCAGTCAGCCTCTAATATCTAGTAGGCTATATAACTTCACTGAGTGTGAAACTAAAGGCAGCTTCTCTCCTCCCTCTCTTTCACTGCTGCCTGTGTGTTTAAAGAAGGGCAGGCCACAAGGTCGAATGCTGGTTGGGGGAGGGAAAAAGGGAGAGGAGGAGCTATTCTCACTGAGACCTCCCTTCACTCTCTTTCCTCCTATTGCTGAGCTCCCAGGCACACAGAGAGCACATGGCTATCGGATTTTGAAACCAACCTCCAATAGAAGGACGATCAAAGTGTCATGGTGGTGCAGAGCATGTGCGCCTGTGCAGTCCCTCCCATGTGAAGTGCAGCAGAGACACGGAAGCAGAATGTAAGCCTGTGGATATTGTGCGTGTGAAGGAGAAAGCACACACACACACTGATGCAGCTGATGTAACAGAACTGTGATCACAATGCAGTGACGGTTTTTTTTTAAAAAAGAAAAGAGGGAAGAGAGCTCTTCCTGACTATGTTCTGAACAAGGTAAGATGATATTCTGACACCTTACAGAACTGTGGATGATGTATGAATGAACAAAGTAAGGATTATACGATTTCCTGGTTGTCCTACAGCCTCAAGGCTCAACTCTTTGTCCATTTTCTTACCTTAAAATGAACAGGAACCAGGGTGATTATACAGTTTTAGATTAAGAAGCAGGAACAGGAAGTTTTATTATGTAGTCAGCATTTCATTATTCTTTCAAAATATTATTGATAGCCTACATGATCCTTACAAATGGGGTCCTTTAGACATTAAAGGCACACTATGCAAGATTTTTACCTTAATATAACAGCTTCAAAGTCATTTTGATGGTAAACAAACTCGTAGTATAGCGAATCATCCCGATAGCAAAGCAGGAGAGGGACGCCGTTGGCAGAACCAGCAATGCAAGTCTGAAAGGTGGCGCCCCGCCATATCTTGCGAGAATCATGAATTGCTTTACGGCATTCACTCAGACGTTACCTGGTCAATAGACATCTTCGGAGTCTATCTTTGCCTGTTCGATGTCCGAGCTTCCATCCTACTGAACATGTGTGTTTTCAGTGTGTTTTTTGCTATTTTTAACAATTTTCTTACTACTTTGTTCACGTCGACTAGCACTTTTTATTTTTAGTTTGCAAGGGTGTCCATGGCGACAGGGAGTCGCATTGTTTACACCCACATCCTGATGATCGCCCTTTGGCACCCGAGCATCCTGACTGGAGAGAGACCCTCCATACCGGAGGAGCACGAGGAGGGGACGGCGGGGTTAAACAGAGGATGAAGAAGAGGAGGTTTAAACTCTACATCCCTGCAGTCATCACTGGAAACAAACGTGGCTACACGAGCAAAGACTAACGTCACCATGCCCGGCTTCCAGGCGGTTCGAGCTGATAGGGACACCACTGCGACCGGCAAGAAGAAAGGAGGGGGACTGGCCGTGCTCATAAACAACAGGTGGTGTAACCCCGGGCACGTCTGTGTGAAAGAGCCTCTGCAGCCCGGACATCGAGTTTGTCGCCACGGGCATTTTCCAGTTTTATCGCCATCAGTGTCTATATTCATCAAAGTAATCTTCATCATCATCATCACTGTCTATATTCCTCCGTCTGGGAAAGCAGAAGCAGCGTGTGACGTCATCCACACTGTGACTGCAGGACTACAAACGAAACATCCGGAGGCCTTCATCATCATCATAGGGGACTTCAACCACGTTTCTCTCTCGTCCACACTCCCAACCTTCCACCAGTTTGTCACATGCACCACCAGAGACAATAAGACCTTGGACCTGCTGTACGCAAATGTTCCTGTTTTTTATATCTGTATTTATTTCACTCAAATGTTGCTGTGACAAGTGAATTTCCCCATTGTGGGATTAATAAAGTTATCTATCTATCTATCTATCTATGCACCGGTACACACGGGGGAGGGGATCAGGCCGTGAGTTCAGAGACACAGAGCCGTATATAGAGACAGCTAACGTTAAATACAAGTACTCCGCAGCAACTCTAGGGGTAGCTGTTTGACAAAATCGGAAAACTGCATAGTATGCCTTTAAAACATTTCTTTGACTGTTAAAAAACATCAGAAGACTTTTTTTGTTCTGAATAACGATGCCAAGTGAGTCTGCCATGCATTGGTATGGTATAAATGAAAGAAAGCTATTTGTTTATGGTTTTAATTAGAAGTCCTTCACAATGACAGTCGTGGTGTAGATTTATTACACCTCACAATCCTTTCTCTTTAATGTTTCTGTTTACGTCACAAGCACATGGTGCTATTCATAAGAGCACTGTGTCAGTATGTGAAAGGTCACTACTCCCCTGCCGAATAGCACAGAGGGGAAGAGAGATGGAATAAGAGGCAGAGTGAATGGAGACTGGGAAGGTCAATCCCAGCCACATATACTCAGTAATAATTATGTGACATTCAGCTCTTCCTATGCTTACATACTTCTTTACCCATTTTGATACTTTTGCTGTAATGTAGTTAGCAAACATCATCCCCAAGACACTTGATTGTTTTTACTTCTGTGTGGCTTATTGGTCCAGACTGACATATCTCAACAACTATTGGATGGATTGTTGTAAAATTCACGTCTCCCCACTCAGGATGTATTACACGACTTCAGTGATCTTGTCCAGTGGCATCATTATGTCAGTATTTTGGTTTATGACTAAAAAGGCTACCTGCAAAACTATAATGTATTTCCAATCAGCCTAGCTATACTTTGTGTTTAGTGCTGATAAGCTAATATGGTGAAGATGGTAAATATTACTATAACAGATAAACACAAGCATTTTAACATTGTGGTCGTTAGCGTGTTAGCATGCTAACATTAGCATTTTGCTAAGTACAGCATCACAGAGGCGCTAGCGTGGCTGTAGAGTCGCAGTCTTGTTTTTGGTTTATGGTCACACTTGAAGCTGCCATGTGGTTAGTCTTACTACACAACTAAGTTGGATGAAACTGAAAGGTCATATTCGATTTTTATTAAAATATCAGACTGCAACTTCATGATTGTTTAGAAAATAGTCTTTCATTTTTAAATGTTTTTTTAGATTGTGATAAGTTTTGCACTTTACTAAGAATACTGTGTTGTCTCTGTGTTTCAGATTGTGCACATCTACATTTCCTGATTTATCTCATTCCATCATCATCACTCCATCATGTCGATGCTGACTCACGTGCTGGCGTGCCTGTTTGGTATGGGCTCCTGGGTGGCCATCAACGGGATGTGGGTAGAGCTGCCCCTGGTCGTACCGGAAATCCCAGAGGGCTGGTTACTGCCGTCCTACCTCACAGTCCTCATCCAGATGGCCAACATAGGTCCTCTCTTCATCACTCTGATGCATCGCTTCCGCCCAGGGGTCCTAGATGAGCGGCCGGTCATCTACTGCATTGTAGGGTTGGGGATCATTGCTACATTCCTGCTGGCTTTCTTCTGGAAGCACACAGTGACAATAGCGGGCTCTTTGCGTAGCGTGCCCCTGCTGGTGTTAAGCTTTCTGCTCTCTGTGGTGGACTGCACCTCCTCTGTTACCTTTCTGCCTTTCATGATGCGGCTGCGGCCACAGTACCTCACCACGTACTTTGCCGGTGAAGGCCTCAGTGGTCTGGTGCCTGCACTGGTGGCTCTGATTCAAGGTGTTGGTGTAGTCCACTGTCAGAATGCCACTTTGGCTAACGCCACTACGGTAGGCAGCGGAGAGCTAACAGCCATCTACCAGCCAGCTAAATTCTCCGCCCAGGTCTTCTTTGTGTTCCTCAGTGCTATGATGGTTGTGTGCATGGTGGCCTTCATCCTCCTCAACCATCACCCAGCTGTGGCTCGGGAGCGAAATAACGACCGGTACTTCAGTGGCGATCTGGCCCCTGAGAAGAGAGAACAAGGTCTGTCTCTGCATGCCCAGACGCCAGAGCAGAAGCCAATGATCAGCCCTCTGGAAGCTGTCAGGAGGGAACCCAGGAGCTCTTTTGGGATGGGCACGTATAACAACCTTGAGGTGTTGTTCATCTTTGTCGTACTGGCTTGGGTCAATGCTCTGACCAATGCAGTGCTGCCCTCAGTCCAGTCCTACTCCTGTTTGCCTTATGGAAACCAGGCCTACCATCTAGCTGCCACCATGGCGGCTGTAGCTAACCCAGTGGCCTGCTTCATTGCCATGTTTATGCCCATCAGGTAAGAATGAATGATAAGTTTTTTTCTGTCTCCTTCAAAAGCAGAAATTGCACAAGAATGGATAGGCTCAGTCATAATCACAACTTTGTTGTGGTCATAGCTTAAAAGAACTGAATTTACTTAAATGATCATGTCTTATGAAGTGGTTCTGTGTAACAGAAAATGCTCAGTTTTGCCTTATGCATCGATTCTTGTTTCCAGGTCTCTCATCTTCATGGGTTTCTTGACCATGGTTGGGACTGGATTTGGAGCCTACATCATGGCCATGGCTGCTCTCAGTCCCTGCCCCCTGCTGGTCCACAGTGCCTCTGGAACTGCAGTCATAGTAAGACTCTTTCTAATGAATTGGGACAAGAAAATGTTTTATTTCAACAGCAAAATATATGACTTAATAGCAGTCAATTTGAAATCACACGTTCTGCCTTTTAAATGTGTCTCATGCTACACCTTATTAAAGAATGAAAGTACCACCCACCGCTCATGGCCAAATGTACATTCATAATTGTTATGATTTGGGAGTGTAGTGTGATTGACAGGTTTTAAGATCAAGTCGTGTCTCAACTCAGTCCTGTCTGACCTGATTAAGACCAAATTAATGAACACTCATTTACTTTCTCAGAGGAAAGCACAGATGTGTTGATCCACGTGTATATGAGATAGTGCTCTTGTACAGGGTTGCATTATATTGTCGCCCCCTGTATCTGCTAGCAATAACTTTTGTCTGCATAAAGAAACATCATGCTGCTATGTAACTGGTATAGTGAGCATGGTGTTGGTAATCAGTGTCCTAACACAACACTTAATGGTTCTGGTTATTGTCATTTCATTCATTTTTTTGTGTATCTTGACTTGCAAATCTGGCCTACAGTAGTGAAAAAGAGAAAGACAGTACTGTGAAGCAAGAGGTGCTGACAGATGCAAGAACATCAGCAAAAATAAAGGCTATAAAAGATTCCGTTTGTAGAGTCTTCTCATTAGTTGTGCTTGTGACCTAACAAATCAGATTTTTACCTTATTATATTTTCCCTTTCTCCTTGGGTGATGTGTACAATTTTGTCCTAACTGTATCACAAATAAATACCTTAATTTATATAGTCTTTCTAAACAAAGTGCTAAACAGTGTAGCAGATTTACCAATTAATAATACAAAAATAATGAGACAAAATTAGAATCAATGAGCAATACACAAAACGAACCAAACAGTTAAAAACATAGTTAAAACCAATGCAATATGATGTTTTAAGCACAAAACTATTGAGTGTGTCAGTAGTCATGACCAGGTAACTGCAGCTGCTTATTTTAATAACTACACTTCTAATTCATAAACTGATTCTGTTTTTGATTGGAGAGACTTCCTGTTCCAACCTGTTCATGACAGCAGACCAGTGAAAGCCACTGAGCTGTATAACAAGGACTGGGTGTCAGATCATTGTCATATTATTCATGATATGCATTAAAATTCACCTCTTCTGTGTTGTAGGTGCTGACCTGGATCCTGTTTGTCCTGTCGCTGTCCTATGTGAAGGTCATCATTGGGGTGATTCTGAGGGATGAGGGTCACAGTGCTCTCGTGTGGTGTGGAGCAGTAGTGCAGTTGGGCTCCATGGTTGGGGCTTTATCCATGTTCCCATTGGTCAGTGTCTATGGACTTTTTAAGTCAGGTGATGCTTGCAACACCAAGTGTCCGATGTAGTCAGTGAGGTGTAATCTGCGCTTGTTTTTATTAGCACTGAACTTACTGCAGTCATGAGCTTTACATAGGCCTGTTCCTATTTGTTTCAACAGAGCTGAGAGGTCACATGTGTTTATCTACAACAGTAGCACTTCCTGGTGTTGTAACAGATTTGCTTCTATCAGAGTCAGACAGTAGATTTATGTTTTATATTGCATATTTATTGACTGATAGAGTGAACTCTACACAAAGAAAAGAAAAGACACCTGTATTATCAATGTGCCAGACCACACAAGACCATTTTGTTGCTGGGCATATTATACTTCCTTCTCAATTCAGAGGTCAAAGCCAGTTTACTTGAACTCTTAACATTATGTAAAAATATAATTGATTGTTGCTTTTATAAGAACTGATGGTACTTTTGGCTTTAAAGTCTGCCTTAAATTAGAGACACTGACAGATGTAGTTTTTTTTTGGTGTACATTGTTAATTATTATACCTTCCTTTGTATGTGTTACCTGATGGAGAAACTGTTCAACAATACCAAATAAAACACTTGTTTTATTGCTACTGAATTGATTATACTGCAAATTCTATTAAACATTTACCCTATCCTAACCCAGCTGGGGCAGAGGACTTAATGCCCAAGGGAAGTGAGGGTACAGGGGCAGAAAGTACAAAAGCAAGGTAAATGGTACGGTAGATAGGGCAGTAGGGGGAGACACAAATAGCATTATCCTGTCTTAAATAGCTTCTGTGTGTGTGTGTGTGTGTGTGTGTGTGTGTGTGTGTGTGTCTGTTTGTGTGTGTCTGTTTGTGTGTGTGGTTGAAGTGGTATAATTGAGTAAGAAGTTTATGGACACTTTTGAATCAAAGACAAAAGCACCATTCTACCCACTCACTCCTGTGCACCTAATGGGTATTTTTACAGGGTACCGATTAGACATGTAAAGGATATGCAGGACAAGAGGAAAGTATAAAATAAATAAATAAATAAATACAATGAGAAGGAAGAAATACAAGGAAAGAGAAGAAAAGAAAAAAATGAAGCACTATTTATGCACAACCAGTCTGACCCGAAATGATAAGTAGTAAATGGAGTAGTAAATGATATGTAAGTTATAAAACTATTTGTCTTCATAATATCTGAAAGGTAATGTTTTCTTCTCTTCTGCAGTTGAGAACAACAGATGGCTTTATATCCAATGCATAACAATTTATCATGCAATATGCTTTGTTATGCTAATTTACCATATATTTACACTATTTATAACCTATTATTATTTGATTTGAATTATTGGTTCAAATCTATGCACACTATTATGTGCCATGGACAATCCATTAGTAGTGGTTTCCTGCAGGTCTTTGACTCCAACACTAGAGGTCACTGTATGATTAAAAGAGCCTCATGAGAAACTGAGTCTTTCAACTGCAGTCAAGCTTCAAGATTGAAGTAATGCTACAGTTTTGATCCAGATTGATGAGCCAGATTTTTTTTAAAAAGTCATATTTACTAAATGAGTCTATAAACAGAGTATAAACAGAAACTTGTTTTTCCACATTTATAGAGAAATATCTCAGCCTTTGTTGATGCATGTCTCAGATTTGCCCCAGTCACCAGATACATGTCTGCATCATATCCTCCTTACACTAAATCAAAGAGAGAGTGTCTTATCCATGTAGGTGTATTTGTGTGTGTGTGTGTGTGTGTGTGTGTGTGTGTGTGTGTGTGTGTGTGTGTGTGTGTGTGTGTGTGTGTGTGTGTGTGTGTATCCATCCCCAGTCCAAGGGGATAAATAGGAATGAGGAACTCATGGCCAGTCAGAGTCTGATTCAGATCCCAGTGGTTCCTCAGAGAACATCTGGGGTCATCATCTCCTGGTGTCTCATGCTTCACCTATTCTCCTTATCTCTCCCCATGGTTTCTATGACTTATGGTGTGCTGAGTTTAAAAACTGCAGACCTGTTTGGAATGATTTTAGCAATAGTTTAAAATCTGAATATGGGAAAACATCCAAGATTAGGTCAAGTTTTAATATGTTTGTCTGAAATTGTCTAATAAAAAAAAAAGCAGAACGACTCCCTTTAAGGATTGTGAAATTATCTAAATGCACTGAGTTTCAGACAGGTGGACAGTCTGCCCAATGTGAATGTGGGTGGCAGGATGACACAAGTAACATAATGAGAGAAAGGGGAGACTGCAGTCTTCCTTATCTTTCTGCCTGCCTCTCTCTTTCTCTCTTTCAGTCCAACTATTTTGATATCTCCTTTTCCCCAAGCTCCTTGTCTTCCTCGATTCATGCATATGGCAGACTTTGTGACCGTAATTTCAATTTAAAACACATGAGGGGAAATCCTAGCCCGTGCTGCTCTTTAATGGGCCGTCATGGGATTGGAGTATGCAGAGAATGATTGAATTTTGTGAGAAGGCCAGGAACGATCAAGTCTCGCCTTCCGTTATGCAATCGACCATTCCCCTCTCACAACGCGACGTCTGGTAAAGCCTAGAGGAGCAGAAGGGGGGCTAAGGGCTGGAAACCTCAACGTCTAGACCAAACGAGAGAAAAATATTTTTTCTTCTAAATGACTCACGACTATATAAAAGAGAAACTCAGCTATCATATATAAAAAGAGCCAAATGAGATGTGATCCACCACATCAAACGCAGATATGTCGAATAGGGCTGCTTTTAATGGTTGTAAATGAGTCTTTTTACACTGTAATGCATGACATCCTATATTTCCTCACAGACGGAAACATATGGATTCTATACAAAGCCTGCCATGCTGTTTTATTTATATGATTGTGTCATGTCTGTTTTTTCCCTTGACTCTCTCCACCTGTTTGGCCCACTTTGACAATGTCAAGATAAAAGCACTGCGACTCCAAGGCACTGAGATTACCACTTTATGCAAACTTTTTCACACCCACTGTGTTGGATTACACCACCGCGCTATATCCTTTCATTGAAGCAAAGAGACTACCTTTCCCGTTAAGTCCATTATATTCAAATGGACCGGGTCTTTTTCTTTTTTTTCCTTCTTCACAACAAGACATAAAGTAATCAAAAGTTAAAAGCAAACACTCAAGGAGGCACTTAGCAAAAAAGAAAAGCTTTTATGATAAAACATTCATATACAGTGCAGGAGACAGGTAATCTTTGAGGATGATAGGGTTGTCTTGTGGTCAGTTTTAGTATAGTATGGCTTGGGGAGCCTTGTAGATGAATGCTCCTAATAACATCCCCGCCCACCCATCATCCAGCGGACCATCCAGGCAAAACAACTAATACCTGAGTGTATTTCTTCAGTGGTGTGAAGTATGCCTTAAAGAGCTGTTGGAGGCTGCAGTAAAGTAGGGTTCATTACCTTGACAGACTGATGACAGCTAAGACTCGCAGAGATGCACGTACACACACACACACACACACACACACACACACACACACACACACACACACACACATAAAGTAAATAATCTATCAGTTCTCCTTGTGTGATACACACACAGCAGGATATCTCATATAAATAAGAACACCTGAGCTATAGTCAAAAAAGGAAATACATCGGTGTTTGTTGGAGCTCTAAAATGTAAGACTGCTTTCTTGCAAGACTTTTGAAAGTCATTAGCTGAAGGTGTCTGAATCAATATGTAATAAACATGCTGTGGGTGCACAGAAATGTCTGGATTAGAAAAGAGTGAGAAGAATGGTACCTCTCTCATGTCGGTATGCTAAATATAAAGGTACAGTCAGCATCCAGTTAGCTTAGCTTAGCATGCAGATAACCAGGGGAAACAGCTAGTGTGACTCTGCCCAAAAGGAAAGAAGAAGCCATGGTGTCATGGAAAGCATGGTTTTGCCTGGTTCTGTGCTAGACTTTCACTGTGATATAACAAAATACAATGTGTACAAGCTTTATAGGTGCTGCTAGGTGGATTTATGTTACCTTGCTACCTTTGGCCAGAGCCATGCTAGCCGTTTCCTACATTTCCAGTCTTTATGCCAAGCTAAGCTAACCGTCTCCTGGCGGTAGCTTCATCTTCATCCAAAGTTAACAGGCTATTTTTTGACTGGGTGTAGTAACTTCCTTGGGTCTTGGAGTTTTTTAGGCAACCTGTGGAGACTCCAGTTACATAAGTTAAGCACATAGGCTAACCCTCATAAAACTAGAATTTGTAGTTTTTACACTCATTTTTGTGTAAAGATTAAATGCATGTTAATGAATGAGCTTTAGATTTGCTGGAAGGCCGCTTTTATTATCTGTGGACAGAGCCAGCCTAGCTGCTTTCAGTATTTATGCTAAGCTAAGCTAAGTGTTTGCAGCCCTGTAGCCCTCATATACCTTAAAGAAATGAGAGTGGTATCGATCTCTTGATCTAACTCTTGGCAAGAAAGCAAATGAGTTACTTTCCCAAAAAGCAAACTATTGCTTTAATAATTTGAGCTAAAAATCATGATTATAGCTTTGGTTTAGTTTGAATCAACACATGGACCACATGGAATTTGTGGTTATGTGTTTTTAAATTGGAATTCCTCCTTTTATTTGGACAAATCATAACAAACCTAGTAAAAAACAAAAGAGAAATAACTAAAGCAGCTAACTCCTTCATGTCGGGAAGTCAGAACACATGGGTTGCGTGGGGTCAGCTTTAGGTCACACTGGGCATCCATTAGTGGCCTTATTTAGAGTCTTATTCCTTTAAGAGGAGTGATTGGCCAGCAAAGACAAAGAATCATTACCTTTGCCCGCCCCCTCCCTGCCAGCAGTCAATAATGAGGGATCATTAAAATGAATAGATGGACATTCCCCTTTTCTCCGGATCCTTATTGCAAAATCAGTGTCAGGGGAAATGAAGATTGAGCTTGGAGAAGGCGTCTAAAAGCCTCACAGTGATTGTCGTGAACTCATCTCCAGTGCCAGGCTCCTTTATCTACTGTAAGAGTCTGCACCTGCCTGAACTCTTGACTAGCAAGGGCTTTTACTGTAGCCCATTAAGAGCATCCCTAATGTGCGCTACAATGTACTTCAACATAAACATTCTGCATATGTACCGAAACCTTTACAGCAAACAATGGAAGAATGATTGCTTGGGATGTCTTGGAGTATTTTTTTTGATGAAGAAATAGAGCTCTCAGAGTGAACCAGAAAGAGGTATTGAATACATCAGCTTTGATGTGGAGAATAGAGAACTTACGTGTTGTGATCATATAAACAGATCCTTAAAGATAATTCTCACTTTTCACATTTCTTAAGCTCAAACATATGTCCCTTTGCTAAATTTTATAAATCCTTGCACAACATTTCACGCATCACAAAAAAGAGCGAGCGAATCAAGCTGAATGATTGCAGATGGAGAATAAAAGACGGCACCAGATTTTCCAGGCACCATCTGGTTGCTTTTCTGAGCGTCTCTTAAAGTGTCTTTTAAAAAGGTGATTTGTCTGTGGGTCCGCAACGATGTGACCATGTCAGCGTGTCAACGGGTCATCTGCTGCTCTTGTCACATGTGAAACGGTCCCATGAAAGGGGTCCATGTACACCTGTGGAGCCCCCCAAAACCCCACCCTAAACAG